ACTCTCTCTCTTCTCTGCTCTGCCTTTCTCTCTCTCTCTCTCTCTCTCTCTCTTCTCTCTCTCTCTCTTCTCTTCTCTCTCTCCTCTTTCTCTCTGTATCTTTTTCCTCCTCCTTCTCGTATTCTTCTTTTCTCTCCCCCGCTGTTTCCTTCTCTCTCGTTCTTTCTTACTCGATCTCTATCTCACATTTTCTTTGTCTAATGTGTGTAAATGTATGACGCGTCTATCTGTCTGTATATGTTTGTCTTTGTGCTCTCCTTCGCGGCAGATTCGAAACTCATGCATGCTTGCCCAACAAACATAATTCCCTGTGCGCCTTTGCTTTATAGTGGCATGTATCACTAATGGCAGGTTAGCTGGTTTTCAAGTATCGAATTTGTTTACCCCGTAATTTGCGCTAGCTCAGCTGCAAAGGTTACCAACAGACTCTTCAAAGTTCAAGTATCATGTGACAAACAGATAAGCCACTGTGAAATTGATTATATATAAAGTGTAAGGTACAGTTTAATCGCCGAGCGAAAGGTACTTTTTTGTACATCGCGACGTTTCGTATTTACAATTAACACAACTGTTAACTCAATTAATTAGCGAAGAAGATATAAACGTCACTCAACATCAGCTAGGCGTGAGTGCATGCGAACGTGGCTACTGTTTCGTCGGTAATGTTATTAAGGCCATTGCATAAAAAAGCCCGTTAAAAATGTAGTGTAATATAATGTTATTATAACAGTTATTATGTAAATGCTAGCTGAGTGGCGTACCGTGTAGTTTGAACAATGGCGTTGGTTAGACGCGTATATATACACGGTACGCGGCATGGTGAGAGCTCCAAACACCCCCGCTCGTTTTTATATGTTCATTTCTTTTCACCACATCATTTGGGCTATTTTCGTCTGTTATTTCAATGATACTAAGTAACACGAGGCATTGTTGAACCACTGCATTATTCACCGATTATCCCTACCGTGAGCTGGGCGCTTTTGTGTGAATTAAGTCGCAAGCCAAACTAGCTCGTGTTATATATTGCAAACACATCGTTGTGACCGTGGTTCAGGCCGTGCGTTGCGAACTGATGAACGTTTACTTCTTTTCAACTTTTATATGGCAATATGGATGGTCGCTTTACGCTTTGCAGTAAAAATATCATAAAATTTAAAATTTAAACGATGTTTAATTGATTGTGCAATTAGAATTGCACATACATTTATTATACATTACATATATTATTTACATATATACTACATATTATGGAATAGGCATAAACCTGCTTAAATTATTGTTATGATAAATGTTTTAATTATTTCAATTGTAAACTGTCGCCATCTAGACAATTTTAGTGACAGTGTAATATAATCGCTAACTATATTGACAAGTTTATGTACGACAACTATATACGACAAGTTTGATTATAAATTTCATCACGGCTCCATTTTAATATGTTCATTTCTTTGAGACCATTTGAAGATGGTTCATACATTTTGAAATCTTACTATGAAACTTATTGTAAGCGAATATTACCTAACAATTGAGAACTTGAGGCTTGACCTAAAAAATTGGAACAAGAAGCTCATATGACTAATTAATCTTGAAGCCTCAAATTAAAATAATTAAATAATTACTATAATTAGTACAAAATGTCTATTCAGTCACTATTCGATTCGTATTCAGTTTCGAAATTTTCAACCTGACAGACGTTGATAATTAAAATCCTAAGCCGCACTGAATTAATGTCTATTCGCGCCCGAATCATCGCTTGCTAGCAGGGGCGGGTTTGATAGATAAATGCTAGCCGGATAGTAGCAATATACACACGGGTGGCGTTGGAAAATCTACGGAAGCGAGTGGAAAATCTACACGCACAAAACACTCCGTGTATGAGATTAGAATAATATGTGATGTAATAGGTTTGTCTTTGAGTCGTGCCATGTTGGTACTTTAGCTGTGCGCTTGGAACGGTAGCCGCAAGGAGTTGTCTGTTGTGTCGGGTTATACATGCGTTACATGTACAAATGTCCCGCGCTATCACTCGATGCTCGTATGAACTCGTGCGAAATCTCATGTGACGTCATCATACGGTCCTGGTGACGTCACAGTCGCTTTCATTAACCACCTCATAATCTGTATGACGTTTAATCGTATATTTATTTCTTTATTAATTTTTTAATTTTTTAATTTATTTATATATCTATTTACCTTTTTTAAAATATATTTTTCGCACGTGTAGTCGCTTACGATATGAAATCCATACACACCGTTTTCGGATTACGATTTTTTGCTACATAAAACGCGGAATCATTGCCAGGAAGCACGTATGTACTGGTGCAACACTTACCAATTATAGGCGCATCAATTTCAAACGCGATGCGTTTCGAAACGTCATAAACGCGCGTCGCAGCGCAACGGGCGACGAGCGCAGGCAGTGCTCCCTTCCGTACATTGCACACTCCCATAGCGGCATAGATCCGCGCGCTTGTGCCGGTCATGTGCATGTTCGTAGCACTTGTGACGGTGGGCGAGTCGTAAACGCAATGAGGTGTATTGTTTGTCCGCTGAGACGGAATTTCCATGACAGATTTTGAGTCGTCATTTTGTGCGCTGTAAGTCCGCCTCGCCTTCGATGTTCTAATCCTGCATATATGACCTCCTAATAACCTAGCTGAGCAGTAATATGTTTGAACAGATTCATTTCTCATTCTCTGTCCTTTTCGCTCTCCCCTTCTCTCTTTCTTCCTTTTCCAATTAAACCCTACTGTCTTTCACTCGATTCCTGTAGATATGCTGTAGTATTCCTGTAAGAGGCCGTCCAGGCCTCTTCTTCATACATGTCTCTGTCTTTCACTCTATCTCTGCCCGTGTCCATTTCTCTGTCGCTTGCTCTCAACTATTCCTCGCATCGCAATTCGTAAATGCTCAGTTAATCCGATAAGACTCTCGGTAGATCTTCCAGGGATCTTCTATGTCTTCTACTAAACAGCACGGTTATAATGGTGTCATTGCCATGCGGATTGCGTGCGTGGTCACATAATTATGTTTCAACTGTTTGTTCGTTTGTTTGTTTGTGCGTGCGCGCGCGTGGGTGTCTGTGTGTGCTTGCGCGCATGTGTTCGCGCGCTTGTATGTGTCTCTGTGTGAGCTTTGGAGGTAGGCTGGATGTGTATCAAGAGTACAAAATATAGATTATTTATCTGTATTATGTACTCTTGATGTGTATATATCACGCCATTAAGATGCAAACGGCCATCCTAGGTGTCCTGGCTTTAAGCGTTTATTGAGTACGACAGATTTCCTTGACGCCCTCCGTCGCTACACAACAGGCTGATGTTATCTATGATATAATTTCGACAATGTTTCGGTACACAAACACAAAGCCGAACGTTCAAAGACAAGACCAAATTTCTCCCCTTCCCCCGCGCACTCCCTTTGTCGCGTACTGCGTGCTAAGCGATGCTGCGCTATGTCAGTAAGACTAGTGATACAGGGGAAACATTTAACACCACCGCGGCTGCCGCAGCCGTCTCCATCTCTAGATCTCTGGCTGCCTTCGCGTTGAGAATAAACGCAGGCGCTAGAAAAATTCCTCTTGCGGACTCCGCCCGCGTGCGCGCTTCCCGTTGCTTATCTACCTACCAGCATCTGCCGAGCAACTGAACATCGATTCTAGAAAACCATAAAAACGTCCTGCGGGCGCCGATTTTCTCGATAGTTGATTTACGATGGCCGCACTTGAATCGCCGCTGGGGTGTTGTCGTTCTCACGGATCGCGAGTACGCAGAAACGGCTACGCATTGAGGTCATCATTGCACATGGCGTAAAAATGCATCGATGACGTCATCAGTGTTTGGTAGACGCCCACACGAGCAGGCTCTATTCGCCGCCATATCTCGCTTTTTCGGTTCCTTCCCCTTGCGTGTCGTTTTCTCTCCTCCCTGTCTCTCTCTCTCTCTCTCTCTCTCTCTCTCTCTCTCTCTCTCTCTCTCTCTCTCTCTCTCTCTCTC